GCGCTGATCGCCCTGCCACCGCTCTCCGCTGCCGCCGACCAGTGCGAGACGGACGGCGCAGCGTGCGAGCTGGTCATCCCACAGCAGACACTACTCGCCGGCCTGGCGAGCGCGCCCGTGCGCCACGTCACCGTCACCGGCGCGCCAAGACACTTCCGAGACGCCTCCTGTGACACACGTCCACGCTTCAAGCTGCCGATCGGTCAATCTCCCACTATGGCACGCCTCCACGCCTCCTGTAACGTGACGCGTCCACGACCCGCGCAGGCGCCTCCTCGGGCGTCGGCCTCGCAGGCGCCAAGCTGCTGACGGCGGCGGGGCACAAGGTGACGCTCGCGTGCCGCACGCAGGCCAAGGCGGACGCGGCGGCGACGGCATGCATGGAGTACGCGGCGGGTCTCTCGGCCGCTGGCCCGGCGGGCATGCCCGACTTTTACGCGGCGCGGAGGGCGGGCGGCAGCGCTGTTGGCGCCGCGTGCGACCTGTCGAGCCTGAGCTCGGTGCGCGCCTTCGCCGCCTCGAGGAAGGCTGCGCCTTCCCTGAACCTTCTCGGAACCTTCCTGTAGGTGCGCGCCTTCGCCGCCTCGAGGAAGGGTGAGCCGCTCGACACGCTCGTGCTCAACGCGGGGCTAAGCCTGAACGTGGGCGATCCTGCCGAGCAGTTCACCGCGGACGGGTACGAGCTCACGGTCGGCACGAACCACATCGGCCACTTTGCCCTCGCGACTCTGTTGCAGCCGACGCTCTCGAAGAGCTCGCTCCAGCCGCGGCTGCTCGTGACGGCGTCGGGGGTGCACGACCCGGCCAGCGGCGGGGGCAGACAGGGCGGCCCCGAGAAGTGGGCGAGCCTCGGCGAGCTCAAGGGACTTGCGGGCGGGAGGGCGTTCACAATGGTCGACGGAGGGACGTACGACCCCGACAAGGCGTACAAGGACTCCAAGCTGTGCAACATGCTCTTCATGGCCGAGGCGGCGCGGCGGTGGGGGAGCGGCGGCATCACGGCAAGCGCCTCGTGGCCGGGGACAGGCCACCGGAGATTGCACGAGGTGAGCCGAGGTTACCCGCGAGATTAGGCAAACGCCTTCTCTCCCGGGCTGATCGCCGACCCAGACGGATTCTTCCGCAACCAGAACAGGCTGTTCGGCTCCGTCTTCAGCGGCATCTCCAAGGCGGTCGGCGTCGCGGAGACGAACGACTTTGCGGGCTCCGCCCTCGCCTACCTCGCGGTAGACCCCGCCATGGACGGGCAGACGGGCGGCTGGTACGACGCGCTGCCGCTCGGCAAGCACAGCACTCACATTTGCTTGGCAGGCTCATCAACGAACACTCGTCAGCAATCGTGTATGGTTTGTTGACAGGCAAGCACTCGCTCGGCAAGCATGCGCCCTCGGCCGAGGCACGCGACGCGGCCAAGGCGGCGAAGCTGTGGGAGCTCTCCGAGGGCCTCCTCGCGTAGATCTAGAGAGTGGGGGTTTCACTGACAGCGCATGTGGCCAATCGTGCCCCCCGGATTCAATGCCCGCGCTCGCTCGGAGGGCCGCTCTAAGACAACATTCGCAGAAATCGAATCCGGCTACGACTCTAGCGAGTCCGTACGAGAGTAGTGGAGTTAGACACTTTGCAAAGCTCGCGGCTCGCGCCCGTGGCCGTGCGCTCTCTGCGGTACTGGCGTTTTTGCAAAAACACCCGCGAGACATGCGCTGATGAAGGTGACCGCCGGGGCTTTAAATTCAGTGCGGGGAGATGCCGTGAAGGCCGTGGGCGATCGTACTCGAGAACGAATGTGGGCGGCGCGCCGCGCTCGCTCAGCTCGCCGCGGGCGGCTCGTTGAGCGCGCGCAGCACCCACTGCTCTCCGGCGAGGTGCACCGCGTACCCCCTCCAGTAGTTGTGGTCGGTCTTGAGGGAGAAGGCGGACGTCTTTCCATTCAGATCGACCAGCTTGACGCGGACGTTTGCCCCGTGCGGCAGCTCGCGCACCAGCTCGACGAAGCCGGCTAGGTCGGCGACGGGCGAGCCGTTGAGCTCGACGATCCAGTTCTTGGGCACGAGCTTGTACTTTTGGGCCGGCGAGCCGTAGAGGTAGTACGAGATGTAGACGCCGCCGCCCGGCGGCGAGTAGCCGCGCTCGAGGACGGCCCGGTACGCGTGCTGCAGGATGAGGCCGCACCTAGGAAGTGTCTAGGAAGTGTCTAGGAAGTGTCTAGGTACGCGTGCTGGAGGAGGAGGCCGCACCTAGGAAGTGTCTAGGAAGTGTCTAGGAAGTGTCTAGGAAGTGTCTAGAGGAGGAGGCCGCACCAGACGGTGATGTGCGTCGTCCCGTCCGAGCGGACCTGCGCGCGGCGGAGAGGGGGGCGGTAGCGGCGGACACACTGGCGGAAGGGGGCGGGGGAGCGCGGGATGCATGCGTGCACGAGGCTGCGCGTCTTCGCGCGCCTCGCTCGTCGAGACGTCCACAGCCCTCTCCCCGCCGTCGCGCAAGACGGTGAGCTGGACGCGCGGCGAGCGGAGCACGGCCGCCTCGACGGCGGGATACGTGTTGACTGGCACTCCGTCCACGGCGAGGATCAGGTCGCCCTCGAGCAGCTGCCCGTGCGCCGGCGTCCCCGGGATGAGCCGCTGCACCGACAGCACCTGCCTCTTCTCTTGCTCGCACGCGACGAGCCGCTCCGCCCACGCGCGGCTCAGGCCAAGCCCCGAGCCGGCCACCGAGCCGCACGCCACACTCAGAGAGACGGGGCGCAGCTCCGCGTCGAGCAAGTACAGGCCGCTCAGCGGCGGCGGCGCGCCGAGCGGCCGGCCCTCGCCCGTGTCGTCGCCGCCCGGCGGGCCGCGCTTCTGCCGCGCCGCCTCCGCGACCTCGGAGCAAGCGGCGAGGATCGGTAGGAGCGGCTGGGCCGGCACGCCCTCGAACTGCTCGTAGAGCTCGTCCTCGTGGCAGCAGCAGTACGCGCCCCAAAAGGCCTTCACCTCGCCGCTCTCGTCGACGAAGACTCCTCCGACGGTGTCCTACGTGCTGAAGACACCTCAGGGTGGACGGCACTGTGCCGTGTCTTCAGAGCACCGCGTGAGTACGAGGGGTGCGAATGCAGTGAATACGGCGGGAGACGGTCGAAGACAGCGGAGTCCGTGTCCTCGCGAGCGCTGGTTGGGAGACAAGAGCACGTCTTCCGCTTCTAGGGGCGGTGTCCTCGAGCGCGAGGCCGACGTCGAACCGGATCACCTCCTCGTTGACCGCGCGGAAGCGAGGCACGGACGCGATGCCGACCTAGGAAGTGTCTAGGAAGTGTCTAGGAAGTGTCTAGGAAGTGTCTAGGAAGTGTCTAGGAAGTGTCTAGGAGGCACGGACGCGATGCCGCGCTTCCGCCCGTAGGAAGTGTCTAGACAGTGTCTGGTGACAGGAAGTGACTGTAGGAGGTGACGGGAAGTGTCTAGGAAGTGTCTAGACAGTGTCTGTGACAGGAAGTGACTAGGAGGGGACGGGGAGGCGTCGCGCGCCTCCATCACGCACGTCTCGCGGACGACGCTCTGCTGGAAGACGGGCAGCGCCGCGTCTTGGCGAGGCAGGCCGACGAACATGCACTCCTCGCCAACCTCGAGCGGCGTGGGCGAGAGGGTCGCGGATCTGACGCTGTCGCCGCAGAGCAGCGCCGGGTCGTACCTAGACACTTCCTAGACACTTCCTAGACCCTTCCTGGCACCTCATCGAGCACCGCCCTCCGGGCCGCACCTCACGAGGGCGATGTTGTGGGTCGGGTGGAGGAAGGCGGTGACGGCAGGCACCTCGACCGTCGAGGCGAACTCGATCCGGCACGCGCCTGCTCGAAGGCATGTTCCAGGAAGGGTCCAGCAAGGGTCCAGGAAGGGTGTGTGCATACTCCGGGTGCGGCACGCGCCGAGCGCGACGGGCACCGTGTTGCGGTCGACGAGCACGAGACCGACCGCCGCGTCGACGACGACGCCCATCCCGGCGTACTTGAGGCCCGCCACGCCGTCGATTTGGTACGGGATGTCGAAGAGCACGCGCACGAGGGACGGTGTGACTGCGCGCACCTCTGGCGGGCCTGCGACGGCGAAGGCGACCCGCTGCGGCACCGGAGGCGGCGGCGGCGGCGGAGGAGGCAGCGTGGAGCAGGTCCAGCGTGAGGAGAGGGCGTCGAGGTCGTACCGCTCCCCAGCGAACCACGTCCGCTCGACGTCGAGGACGGCGAGCCGCTCGGTGTGGTGCGAGTACGGGAGGCGGTACCGCACCGGCACGCGGGCGCCGTGCGGCAGGGAGAGGAAGACGGAGGTGAAGGCGTCCAAGTCTGGCGTCTTGCAGTTGTTGAGCTCGGAGATGACGGCCCGGCTCGGCACGTTTGCGTTCGAGAGCATGTAGCCCGAGAAGGCGACGTGCACGCCTCCCGGAGGCATGTTCCAGTTGCGCGCCTGCTCGACGGCAGGCTCGAGGAAGGGTCTGTGAAGGGGTCGAGGAAGTGTCGGGGCATGCTCCGGTGGCGCGCCTGCTGGTAGCTCAGGGAGTGGAAGGTGCAGCCGCCCGCCTCGAGCACGCTCGCAGGCGAGAGCGCGTGCAAGTCGAGCACAGCAAGCCGCTCCACCTGCGCACGGCGTGGCGGCGTGAGGAGGAGGGCTCTTGGCCGAGCAGCCGAAGACGCACAGCATCTTCTCGCGCCTTCTCGACGCCTCCCCGCTGCAGGGTAAGCCAGACGGCCTCGCCCGGCCTCTCGTCGAGCAGCTCCTGGCCACAAGGCAGGAAGTGTCTAGGAAGTGACCACAGGCAGGCTGCGCGTGTGACGGGACGGCCTCCCCACCGCCTCGCCTCGAGTCGAGCTTCTCCTCCAGCCGCAGGAAGTGTCTAGGCCGCGTCTAGGAAGCGTCTAGGAAGCGTCTAGGAGAGCTCCTCCAAACGCAGGAAGGACGTGCAGAACGGCGCGGAGGCGCGCGAGGAGGGCGCGCGCGACGAGCCGTTCAGTGGCGCGCCGCCGGCCGGGTCGCTGCCGCTCGCCGCGAGGAGCACGTCCCCCGGCTCCAGCACGCCTGTTCACAGCGGGGAGGTGTGAAGAGAGAGAGAGAGAAAGCAGAGGAGCACGTCCCCCGGCTCCAGCGCGCCTAGACACTTCTAGACACTTCCTGTGCATGTCCCCAGGCTCCAGCACAGTTCCCCGGCTCCAGCGCGCCCTCCGCCGGCCCGGCAGGCACTATCTGGTCGACGACGAGCATGCCCGTCTCGCCGGGCAGCGAGCCGCGCACCGCCGCCTCCGTCTCCCGCCTGCCGGGACATGTCCACGCAGTGTCACGCCACGTGGCACCGACAGAAAGCCGCAGCCTCGCCTCCGTCTCGCGCCGCAGCCCGAGCCGCTTGAGCTCGCCGAATGCGCGGTGCTGCAGCACCACGCCGAGCGTGCCGCGGGGCACGCACGCGCGGCCCGCCCCCCTGCCCGCGAGCAGGGCCTTCTGCAGCAGCGCCAGGGCACGCGCGGGCCGCTGCAGAGGCAGGTAGTACCTAGTCGCAGCGCGGCCCGGGTGCCGACCGTGGCCGCTCCTCTCCCGGCTGCTGGCGCGGCGGGCAGTACGAGGAGGCCGACTTGGTGCTGGTGCCCGCGTTGAGGGCGACGGCGCGGCCCGAGGCGTTCACCACGGGCGAGCCCGAGGAGCCGCCCGAGGTATTCGAGGCGCACGAGAAGTAAAAGGTGTTGAAGTCGTTGTACGTGTGCGAGCCGTAGTTGGGCGCGGCGCGGTCGAGGCGGGCGATCGTGCCCGAGAGGATGGAGATCTTCTCGCCCGCGTCGTTGCCGACCACCCGCACCTGTCGCGTGGCAGGCGCGGGGCTGTGGGTGCGAGCCTGTCTCTCCTCTCCTCTCTTCGCCCGCACCTCGAGCCCGACCCGAGCCTCGGACGGGGCGAGCGGGATCTCCTGAAGCTCCATGAAGCGGACGTCGGCCGGGTCGTACTTGAAGAAGCCAAAGTCGTGGACCGGGTCGGCGTACAGCGGAGTGAGCTCGATCTCCTCCTTGTTGTGCAGCACGGCGTCGGCGGTGACCGGACCGGTCGTCACGACGTGGCGGTTGGTGAGGATGATGCCGAGCGCCTTGTCCACGACGAAGCCGGTTGCGAGCGAGAAGCCTCTCTCGTTCATATCGAAGGCCATCACCGAATTGACTCGCACGACGACGACGCCTTTGGCGACTCGCTCGAGCGTCTCCTCCCAACCCTTCTCCTGCCGCAGCCGAACCGTCCAGGCGGTCAGCGCGGCGAGTGCCGCGCCGGATAGAGCGAGCTGCTGGCCGGTTGGCATCGATTTAGTAGAATGAGGGATCACCCTGAGGGCGCCGCCTCGACCGTCACGACTGGCACCGGGCCGGGTAGATGCAGCAGCAGCCCACCGCCCAGGGCGCCAGCAGGTCCCACTCTTGTTTGTTTTTTTTGAGCTTAGCCTTCGATGTTATGAAAACAAACGCAAGGCGGACATGGCATATCGCTCTCGGGCTCACGGACATCCCTCACACCCGCCGCACACCCGCCGCCCCCGCGCGCGCCCCACCCCGGCCGGGAGAAAGGGGAGTGACAGTTTGGGATTGCAAGCCCGAGTATGTTGAGTCCTGGCTCAACAACGCAGATAACAAGAGGGGGTGGTCCGGCTCACAGGTCCGGCTCACGCGCCTCGAGCTCGCCAATCTACCGCACTGAACACTTCCGCCCCCTCGCTCCCAACCCACCCACCTCGCCGACCGCAGAACCGCGCGATCTCGGGCGATCTCGGGCCGCGCCGCGCGATCTCGGGCGATCTCGCGCTATCTCGGAGCTCCACGCCACGCCGCCCCCCCCCCCCACCCCCCACCCCACCTCACCCACCGCCGCGCCGCGCCATCTCGGGCGATCTCGGAGCGTCGCTCGCGCGGCGTCACACCTGCTCAAAAAAAAGGAAGGGCCTGGTTGGAGCCACGGGGCTCACGAGGACGTGCTCGCTCGGTTCTCGCCGCCTCGCCCTGCGCCACTTGGGCCGGTGAGGCGGCGCCCCGCGCGGCGCGTCCCTCGCCCCGTCACGCCGACCCCTGCGCGCACCGCTCATCTTCAGCCCTCTCGGGGTTACTCTTGCGCTCACGCAGGGGAACCCGGCGGTACTCCCTTCCCCCCACCTCCGACGGGTTAGGTCGGTTCTGCGCCCCTTGGCGCCTGTGCATGTCCCGCGTGCCCGCCTGCCAGGGCTGATGCCAAGGCCAAATCAACAACATGCCCGGCTGATGCCAGGGCCAAACCCACTGCCCGGCTGGTGCCAAGGCTCAATGAATCTCCTCTCCGTCTCTTTCCCCCCCCCGCCCAGACAGGACTGATCCGCACGACACACGACACACTCTCTCCTACTATCCGACAGACGCTGCTTGACCGACACGGGACGCTCTGACAGGACACTACTGAGACGACTACCTCTACTCCCTACCGCTACTACTCGACTGGCGGCGCTCGCGGCGCCACGCCGCCCATCCTCGGCCACGCGTTGCGCTGGGTGATCTCCCAGTTGCGCCTCGCAATGATGGCCGAGTGCTGCTGCAGGAGGCGCTTGCGCTCGTTGCGCACTCGCCACTTCTCGCCGTCGGAGCGCGCCAGGGCGACCTTGGCGGCGAAGCCGGTGGTGAACCACTCCGCCGCCTCGCGGCCAATGCCGCCGCGTGTGCTCGCCGCCCACGTCATGAAGTCGTAGTTGTTGGCCGCGCACGCCGCGGCCTTGGCACTCCGCTTCGCCTCCTCGGCGTAGTCGGTGGCGAGGTGCTTGCCTCTCGCCAGCGGGCCCAGCATGCCTTTACGGAACTGCACTGCGGTGATGGTCGTGCCGTCAAACACCATCCTGCGTGCCGAGTGCGTCCAGTTGCCAAGGACGCCGTCCCCCCGCTGGTTCGGGTTGGACTCCTTGTCGACGGCTCGGTTGGGGTCTCTGGGCCCGAGCTTCACCTCCTGGAGGCTCCCCGCCGCGCCGAGGGCGCGGGCGATGGAGATGACGTGGGTGTTGATCGAGGTGTGTCCAGCGCCGACGTGGCCGCCGTATCTGCAACCCATCCCAGTGCGTGCCGTTGAAGTGCTCGTAGCGCGTGAGCATGTGCCGCTCCTTGGCGGCGCCGACGGCGCACGGCGGGCACTCGCGCGACTTCGACGCGTGGTAGATGCACTTCGTCCTCTCGCTCTCGCCGGTGCACCGCGTCGCGAGGGTGATGGCGCCTCTGGGGTGGTTGAGGTAGCCCTGCACCTCGTGAAGGAATGCCTCGTCCGGCAACTCGACGGCGTCCTCGATGGCGTCGATGCCTAGCACCGCGCCCGCCCCGAGCTGCTTCGCCGCGCGGAAGTGCGCACGCGTCGCCGGGTGTACCGACGGGTCGTCGACGATGGCGCTGTACATGTCTTGCTGCAGGGCGTCGCTGGCGACGTGCTGGAAGTGGCGCCCCGAGAGCAGCTCGATCCCCTCGTAGTTGAGCGAGCCGTCGGGCGCGACTATCTTGCCGCGGATGTACTTCCAGTCGTCGGCCTCGTCGTCTGGGCCCTGCTTGAAGCCCGCCGAGTCGTTCACGAGCATCGCAATGAACGCGACCGCCTCCTCAAGCAGTGGCACGCCCGACGTGGCCCACTCACTCGGCGGCGGCACTAGCGGCGACACGTCCTCGAGCCGCCGCAATAGGTAGAGGACGTCCATCACGCGTCCGGTTGAGGCGGCCGGCGCGACGAGCCGAGGGTGCGTCCAGCCAGCGCCGCCGTGCCGCTGCGAGAGGTGCATCGCCTCCTCGCACCGCCGTTCCGTCGGGCCGTCGGGGTTGGCGTCGTGCTGCACGTCGCGGATCTCGTCGGGGGCGGTGGCGGTGACGGTGCGGAAGAGGTGCGCCTGCATCTCCCCCGCGTGCTCGAGCGGCACGCGCGAGATGGAGGGCTCGTTGCCGCGCGCTTGGTGGTTGAAGGTGGTCGACGGCTTGCACGCGAAGCGGCCGTAGAGCTCGGCGGCCTGCCGGCCGAGCAGCGGCGTGAGCCGCTCGAGCACCTTGAGCTTGTCCTCCTGCGCCTTCACCTGCGCCATGATGATTTCGGCGCGCGCCTCCGCGTCGAAGCCCACGCCGACGCCGTTGACCTTGAGCGCGCCGCGCACCACCGTCGGATACTTGCGCACGCCCTCGTGCATCTGCGACGGGAAGAGTTTGATGTAGCGCTGTTTTTTTAGCTTTGCCTTCGATGTAAGGAAACAAACGCAAGGCGGACATAGCATATCGCTCTCGGGCCCACAGACAGCCCGCACACCCGCCGCCCCCGCGCGCGCCCCACCCCGGCCGGGAGAAAGGGGAGTGACAGTTTGGGACGGCGACAGACGAGATCCTCGCACTCCATGTCGCATGTGCGAGAACGCAGAGAGAAATGAAAGCCGAGCGGCTCACAAGTCCGGCTCACGCGCCCCGAGCTGGCCATCTACCGCACTGCACACTTGCGCCCCCTCGCTCCCAACCCATCCGCCTCGCCGAGTGCCGAGGTGCTGCAGAATCGCGCGATCTCGGGCGATCTCGGACCGCGCCGCGCGATCTCGGTCGATCTCGCGCGATCTCGGGGCTCCACGCCACGCCACTCCCCCCCCCACCCACCCACCCACCCACCCACCGCGCCGCGCTATCTCGGGCGATCTCGGAGCGTCGCTCGCGCGGCGGCACACCTGCTCAAAAAGGGAAGGGCCCGGTTGGAGCCACGGCGCACGGGGCTCACGTGCTCGCCCGGTGCGCCGTGCGCCGCCTCACTCTGCGCCACTTTTGAGGCGTTGGCGAAGGCCGGTGAGGCGGCGCCCCCGCGCGGCGCGTTCCTCGCCCTCCACGCCGACCCCTGCGCGCACCGCTCATCTTCAGCCCTCTTGGGGTTACTCTCGCGCTCACGCAGGACCCGGGGGACTCCCTTCCCCCCACCTCCGACGGGTTAGGTCGGTGCTGCGCCCCTGGGGCGCGCGTGTGCATTTCCCGCGTGCCCGCCTTC